ATGTGACATTAACTCTGCTCCAATTACCAGTACAATTTTAACATATGGGTCAGGGAGAAAAATATTAAGAATCACTGCACTAAAATTAATTTAACATGAAAATGACTTTTCTATTAAAAGACTAATATAATAAGGAATAAGTTTCTGTAATATAGCAAAATGATCTTTCTGCAAAATAATTCAACAAATGTAAAAAAAACTGCACCCTTATTTGAGGGTAGTCTGAAAGCAAACTAATATTAAATTACAGTGCACTCTCTCATATATATATATATATATATATATATATATATATATATATATATATATATATATTTAATAAAAGCAGTAACATCTGGATTTATGTGAGTGTGTGCATACATGTTTCATTTTTTGTCTTCAGTGATTTATTGATAATTATTGGTTCTTTCAAATTATTGAGGGGAATAACCAATAAAAAGTAAAACTTTTTTCAAGTTTAATTCAGTGTAGTTTAAGAAGATAAAATGTGCTAGGAGTGAAAGATGAGAATGTAAAAAAATTGCATTGAGTTTATTTACCAAGTTGGATAGATCTTGTTATTTTGAAATTTAGCATTTCTATCCTGGCTTTAACAGTTTCAATGCCTATACTTGATACCAATGAGAATACATGGCTATTCCAACTTGGAATTGTTTTCTTGATTTTTATGAATAGTTGAATGTGTGTGTGTGTGTGAAAGGTGGTATTGGCAATATTGACAATAGCTGTTGCAAGCATTTTATAGTTACAGTGATTATAAGCATCAAAGACAACCTCATTCAAAATACAAATTATTTTAATCAGTAACTATTGCTACCTTACTCGTGTGTGTGTGTTCTCTTTAATGTTACTCCCTCAATTCTATCTATCCTACCCTCCTTCCATGCCTTCTGTCTTCCAAGCAGACAACTTTGATTTTTCAAGCAAAGAAGACTTACATGGTCATCATTTACCAGGCAAGCCTTTCTTGCAATAAACAGATGAAAAATGGTCATTTCCACTTATGACCAGCAATCTTTCATTGATTACCCAGAGTGTTACCCCAAAGTTTGAAGAACTTAAAGGCATAAAATAATTTTCTCTTAGAAAAGATTGATAGAAGGAATTCTTTATTTCCTGGTGGAGTAATTTTAAAAAATGTGTAATGTCCAGGTAAACATAGGATATGCAAGGACAGTGATTCTGAATGAGATGCGGTTTCCTTACTGTCGGAAATTTCGGTGGGATCCCTAATTGGTAGACTGAAACTGTTCAAATATTGATTTTTCTAGACAATTTTAAGTCAATGTTGGCAATGGAGAATACAATTCTGAAATATCAGAAAAAAGTTTGCATAGGCCCAAAGTAAGTTAACAATATCTATAGATTGATTAGTCTATTTGAATTTCCAGAACCATGTATATATGCATCTTTCATGTTCCTGTCTTTTGTTGAAAAAGGAGACAACATTCTTATCAAGCAAGGTAATCTGTAAATGTCAGTGACAAAATAGTATACTCTCACCTTTCATTTATTCATAAAATGTAATCACAATAGATGATAGTTCATTGTCAAGTCAGCAATACTTTCAATCAACAATAGAAGCCATACTACCTACTGCATATTAATTAAAAAGGAAATGGGTACTGCTAATTCCTATTGCTTTGTTTACTGAAATGTTAATATAAACATGTCAGACCATAGTAATCTAGTCCAGCATTAAACCAACTACAAATATTGGAATATGTGTACCTGGAAGAGTTTTATGAAATATTATTTCATGGCATGAGTGTTTTTAAGGTTTATGTAAACCATAATAGTACAGGTACGATTGATTAAATAAATAACTAGTAAAATTTTGGACTCTAATGATTACATTATAGAGTGACACAGCAAATTCTGGTTGTAAGGGAAAATGAAATGATGTTCATGGTTTTATTTTAGTCCGTCAGTTATGTACCATGCATGATACATGCATAGGCAATCATGTATCTTTTGATACATGACTGACGAGGCATATTTTTTCTTACAGTAGGTTGCCATTTCTTTCTGCAGTAGACCATATCCTATCCAAGGCTATAGAACCTGGTCTGTCTTGTTATTTACCCATAGATGGAGGGAGAAGAGGATTCATACTTTTCCCAAAGGTATTAGCACGTAATGGATTCAACTGGAATTCAAACTTGGCTCTCCGATTCCTCAATCCGTGTCACTATCCATTACTCCACTGTGCCTCTTCTCCTTTATTTTAGTACTGACTGTAGACAATATTCTGGTTTTTCTTACTGCCTACTCAGTTTCTCTGCAATTTCTGACAGTAGAGAAAATAATAAATTTGATAATTAAGTACTGAATGTTAGAAATTTTTTAGATAAAATAAAAGCAAATCTTAACACTGTATCTGGATGATGCACTTTGAAAATTAGAAAGCAAAATTGTCAGCATTCAAGAGTTGATGATGATGATGCCTATTATATGTAAAAAGTAAATATATGGTTAATGATTTTACCATGGATATATACAGGATGTGTTAGTCTTTTTTTTTTTTTTTTTTTTTTTTTTTTTTTTTTGAGGACATTTTCACAAATTCAGAAAAAAAAGCATAGCTCATTAATGAAAAGCTTTATTTGAAAATAAATTGGCACAAATAATCTAAAATCCTTTTATCACACCTATTCAATAAGTCCACCATTAGCATTGATGATTGCTTAGATATGGGGTCAGAAGTTTTGACAATCCTGAATCAAATGATCTTTATCAATTTTGGACATTGTTATATCCTGGTTATGGCAGACTTGAGAAATTTTATGGTGTTACAAAGGTGTTAACTGACCTCTCTCCCAACTATGTCCCATATGTGATAGTTCATTGGATTCAGGTCTGGTGAGATAGACCATGTTTAGAAGAACATGATCATGGAGATTGTTATATATTCATTCTTTGATTGTTTTAGCCATATAAGATTCTTGTTGGAAGATGTACAGTCTTCTCTTGTGAAAGACCTCAGCATTGATTCTTAAACTCTGAGGAAAGATGTAAGGATGCATGGCATCTCCCTCATTGTTGACAACTCCCAGAACCATTACAGTTACTTGAAACTTGGTATGCATGATCCTTGGAGCCTCTGTCAGGTCTTTGCATAACCATCTGTTGTTGCTATGGTTTAACCTTTGCTCCTGATCAAAGTTTTTCTCAAATCATTTTAGCCTTTTGGTGTTTCAGCTTGTTTAGCAAGCATACCACATGTATCAAACCATTCTTTCTTGTCCCTTCCAACATGAATTGACCTTTTCACATCACATATGACTTGTATTGGATATCCTCATTCACAGCTCTTCTGACACCTTGTGATTTTTTGCAATGTCTCTGATTGACTTTATAGGGTTCTTATCAATTATTTTCTGAACCTTCCATACAGTTAGGTGTTCTGATAGTATTAGAATCATCATTATGTGTTTTGCATTTAGCTACTTGTATTGGATCAATGTCAGCAACTTCCAGCTCCTTTCAATAAGAATGGCAATTTTTCAAGACTCAATCTGGCTCTGTATCATTATGCCAACAATTACATCATGCCTTTTCATTTGCTGAGTTACCTTGATGCCTGCCTTTATCTGAAAAGAGAATGTCATAAAAATAAGTTAGAAGACAAAGTTCTTGAAAGATGTGTCCTTAAGAAAAAAAAAAAAAAAGACACACACATCCTGTATAGTAAATTATGATGAAAGGTGGTCAGGAATGAAAGTAAGCATTACAGAATAAGACTTACAATCATATGGTATATTTATATATTCTGCTTTATATATTAAAATCAGACATGGACCATAAAAAAAAATTCACTGCTATTTAGAATAGGGGTAGTGTGTATATATATATATATATATATATATATGTATGTATGTATCTGGGCAGCAATCCCTCTGTAATACAGGTTTTATTAAAATTGACTGACAAGGTGCTTCTGGTTAGTTTTCTTGTTTGTATAAATTATCCAAATGATTGTTCATTACAAGCATTTTCAGCTAATCTATTAGCTATCTTTAAAGATTTTGTTCGTGTTATTGCAAATGGTATGTAAGTTGCTGACAGGTAAACATATTTCTAATTCCCAAATTCAACCAGTACATTATGACTGTGTTCATAATTGATGTGGCCCAGTGTTATTGTTTTATGAAGAAGATTTTATTATTTTTAGACATTTTTTATGGTTAGAGGTGTCTATGTTGTTTACCAAAGCTGGTCGGTTCTCTTGTTGGTTTAAATGGGCCATCATGAAGCTATGGCCTATGAGATGTAAGGTCATGCATTTTGATAAGCAAACAGTGACATACCACCACTTGCTTATCAAAACAGCTAACCATGTCAACTATTTTTAATGAAATATATAACACTTTTCTATATTATTTGTTTAGTTTCAGAAGAAAATGTAATAATTTTTTTGTTCGTACAGTAATCTAATAAAAATAATTATGATGATAATTAAATTTTTTGCTGTTAAAAATTATTTTTTAAAGTAAATTTTAAAAAATCTATCTACAATTTTTTTTTTTTTACAGGGACCAAAGTATCTTTATTTACCTCTCTTACAAATTCAAATGTAACATAGGGTTAATATGTGTATATATATATGGGTAGATGCAATAATTGTCTATTCATGGTCTACACAGCAAAGACTACAGCATAATCCACAACCCTCCACTTTTAGTGCATTGGGAAGGTGCTACCTTCAAGTATCCTTTCTTTTTTTTTTTTTTTATCAGAAATATACTTAGGAGCCTTGAATCTCAGTTTTTACATATAATAATTCTCCAAAGCAACTAAATTTTATATCTTTATTTGATTATTTAATATATATTTTTATTTTGTAATAAAAATATATACTAAATAATCAAATAAAGTTATAAAATTTAGTTGTTTTGGAGAATTTATATATGTAAAAACTGAGATTCAAGGCTCCTAAGTATATTTCTGATAAAAAAAGGAAAAATGTCTTTTTCTCTTTTTTATCTTTTCAAATGCAGGAAGTCAAGTTGCATTATGTAACCAAAGGGAAGGATGGTGATACCCTAATGCTCTGTATTCATGGCTTTCCTGAATGTTGGTTCACATGGCACCACATTTTGGAACATTTCAGCAACAACTACAAGTAAGCACTGTACAATTCTCATTTGTATTAAAAAAAAAATAATTATGTGTTCATTAAGAGTTATCCCCAGTAAAATTGGCATATAGCTTCCATATTTTTTTTTTCTATTTTCATTTATTTGTATTCTTTTACTAAACAATTTTTCTACAAAATTATGTTAAATCAGATATTTACAAACAGTGTAGTTGTTAAATTAATTGAAAAAAATAAAAGCTTGAAATATGCTTGGAATTACTAAATTTAAGAAATTTATATAAATAATTTTATCTGCACTTTATTTTATCACTCCTTCTTTATGCAAGAAGCAGTAAAAAAAAATGTAATTAAAAATCAGCAAAAGACCAAAGAAATTATTTCTGAATAATCCCATTAAAAATTTTAACAAAAATGTATCGTATGGCTCACAAAAATGACATATTACCACTATATGTAGTGATGCTGCAAAAGATAAAAGTAAATTTATTTAAAAGATTTTGTGACTTCAGCAATAGACACTGATATTTACTAAACTTAGCTTACTATGGTACAAAGTTTTAAGTGAGGTGCAACTAATGAGGCTTGAACTCACTACAGTCATGATGGTTTGTGAGACAAGCTTGCTATCCAATGCTTCACAATAAGATACTTCAGATAATTGGATACCAGATATGTAAAAATCAAAAAATTGATTAGATTCAATAACAAACAAAAAAGAAAAGATTCACAATAAACATATATTATTCCAAATATGATCCATGAGAAATATACTATGGCATATCACGATGGAATATTTGACATGTAATGTTTATAAGTCCAATTCATCAGTATGATTCCATTATAGATAAAGGACAAAAATCTCATTTCATTACAGAAAAATGGTAAAAGTAACATTAGGAATTAGTTATTTATAATGATAAAAAATCAGTATATTTGTACTTCAATTTAAAAAAAAAAAAATAATAATGATTATTCCATAAAACTGATCCCAACCCTGAGGGTAGCCTAGCTGCAGCATTAGAAGTAACTATATGCCTGGACTAGATGGTTCTCATTCATGTTGGCTGTCACATCCATCACAGTAGCCTTCAATGAGTCATTGATAATGTAGGGCCACTGGTTGTTCTCTTTTTCAACAATGCACCAGCTGTAGTAGTCTAGGAGATTCAAATCTGGAGAGCTATGTGACTTCATGTTGGGAGTAATATGTGAAAATTCTTAACCAGCTCACTCCTGGGATATGTAAGCTATATGGGACTGGGAGTGAATAGTCCTGCTGGAATATGTATAGACATCCTCTCTATTCAGGGCTTGATCACAATATCCATTACCTTGTTGTTAACAATGGCACTGACCCTGACTTCCTGCAGGAAGAAGTAGGATGACATAAAATGTCCCTAATTACTCATAACTCAAAGTGCTATTGTTGATTATGTGTATCAATGTGGGTATCTTTACAGGGTCCATACAGAGCTGCCCATCATTCATCCTATTCACTTGTACTTTTTCAAGATGTTCACTATCTCTGAGTTGCCATATGGTTGGTGGCTAGTGCAAACAATCACACAGTGTAATCTTTTCATTTCCTGTGCCAGATTGGAAACTACCATCTTAACAATCTTAATATGACAAAAAAGAAATGAGAATATGTTCAAATTTGGCAAATCCCACTACATATGTTGGCTTCCCTTTATGGTCAGCTAAAGATATATTCTTAAATGTATGTCACACACTAGTTTCATGAAAAATATTTTTATATAAATATTATCACAATATGAAATAAGAATGAAATATTTCATTTGAAAAAACTTTTTCAATGCATTTAGGGTTGTTGCTGTTGATCTGAGAGGCTTTTCTCTGTCGGACAAACCATTTGGGATCGAAAGCTACAGAAAAGATAAAATTGCCGAGGACATCAAGCAACTCATTGAAGCACTTGGTAAGAAAACTGACCAGTATTTTTCTTTAAAAAAAAAAATGAGCAAATGAAAGATGATAGTATAAGAATTGGTAAATTCTGAAAGGAATGTGGTGTAGTTATTTAATAATCTTAGCTTAGTTTGGCACAAGGGCATAAATATCAAGCACTCAGGACTGAACTCACTGCAGTTCCTAATTCATCTCTCAGATGAACATGTTCACTCTTACATTTCAAATACTTTGGAATAAGAACAATGACAGCAGACAGTAGAGATTAAAAAGTCTATCTTCCTGTCAACTGCTTTAAATATGACACACATCATAGGAGTTTCTAGCATGCTCCTGCAATTTATAGGATGCAAGTTCTAAGTTGTTTACTTTGTTCTGAATACCTGTAATTTGCATATATTTAATTCATCTAAGTTTCTTCTCTCACACTTCTTCCTTGTGGAAGTCTCTTCTGGCTTCATGTTATCTAGCCAACTTTGATCTTAAAAATTTAAATGCAATGTCAGTTTTTATCTACTGTCTTCTTGATTCCTCTTTTTTATTGTTTTTATTCTTTAATAATTTTTCTCTTTTTTCTTATTTTTTCACATTCAATGACCACTTGTGCTTTAGTGGCTTTACTGCCTTGCTTGGAGTGAAATGATTAAAAGAAATGCCTATTAGAAATTAAATGATTTAAAAATATGCTTAGAATAACAAGTATGGTCTTTTTTTAGTGGTTTTGAATATGATCCTGGCTTAATCTGAAGTGAGGATTTCACTTGGTTTATAGTGAGGGAGAGACATGTACAAGATTGACAGCACCCTCTTATCCATGTCTACCTCAATTCAAGGACAGGTAATCATCAAGATGTCTATAGACCAACCTACAATATATTTCATTTGGATGCTTCATAATAATTTGGATTTGTGATATTTTCTATTACACTAATTTCCATTATTAAATGATCTGCTGTATTAGATGAATATTATTCTGAAGTTATTTGATATAAAATGGCCCAAAGTCTCCCAATTTCTGAAACAATAGTTCTTTAAATTCATTAATAAACTCAGACTAACTTGCCTGTTTTTTTTTGTTTGTTTTTTTATTTAAATAAGCAAAGTTTAAGATTTTGCCTAATAAAATTTCAAGCAAAACCTTCAACAATGGCATTCTTTTCACCATTAAATAATGGCAATAATAATGGCATTCTTTTCACCATTAAATTATGGCAATAATAATTTCCATATCACCAGCACAGTCCATTACACAGATATGAGGAAATTCTTCCAGTGATAGAAAAAAAAGTGTACAACACACACAAACGTGTGTGTGTGTAATATATATATATATCTTAAAAAGAATTTTTGGGGAAAGATGTATGACAAAGTGGGAAAAAGTTTTTGTGTGATACATTTTGTCCTTTAGGACTTCATTGGACTGAATTTGTTTATATTGGTGTGACTATGCATACACATGAAAAAAAGATACTGGGATTTATAAATTTTCAATTTTATTGTAATTTTTTTTACTTATTTTTTATTATGTGTTTTGGGTATATAATCTAGCTGATTTCATTTAGATTCTTTTCCTTTCCATCACTTTTGTTATTAGATATCCCCTCATAGTGATAATAGAAGATCTGCCAGGAATGGTGAGAGCCTGGGCACAAATTTACTGTGGACGATCTAGTAATCAAGGCACTCTCTAAACATTTTTGTCTTAGTGAATTGTTTTCTCTTTTGATCAGCAAAATTATGGTCTTCTTATGGTGAGCATCTAATGCATTTAATGTGTTGTTTTGTAAAATGTCCCTATTGGGTTCATATAGCTTTTTTTTTTTAAAAAAAAAGTCTTTACTATTTTTTATTTATTAGAAAAAAACATGGTATACACAGCAAATTCAACATATCATTAGCTCGCAAAGTAATACCCATCAACATCCAGAACTTTTTGCCAATGTGCCTCCAGCTGCATAATCCCTTGGCAATAAAAATCAGGTGTCTTGGACACTTGGTCTTTGAGTGCCTACTACAAGTCTGCCTCATTTGTGAAGGATTTCCCATTAACATGGTTGTCCAGGGAATGGAAGAAGTGGTAATCTGTTGGCTCAAGGTCCGGATAGTAAGGTGGATGGCACACTGTCTCCCAGCCAAGTCACTGTATTTTATCCCTGGCCACCCACACCACATGATGCCTGGCATTGTCATGGAGAAACAGTACACCCTTGTGATTAACCAATGCTCACTCCTTCTGCTTCCATACATATTACACACATTCCAACTGCTTCAAGTACAGATCTGCAGTGATGGTTTGACCCATTAGTAGCACCACTTGTCAACTAGTCTATCGCGTATAGAGCATGATCTTGTGGTGCGAGGGTCCTGTGGTGACAACCAATGTCTGGCACATTTGGGAGTGTTATACAGGACACAATTTTTGTCACTGGTGTGCACTCAAACAAATATTACAAATGTTACCATGCTGAAAAAGCAACAAGAAACAGGCTATCACTCATTGTTGCTTGTTGGCTTCTGCCAATGTGTGGGAGTACATTGCTATGCAGAAACTTTCATGTTTCAGTACTGAGATGGTAACTCATCAGGCAATGGTAGAAAACTAATGATAAAATGATTTATTAGGGAAATTTAAAAAAACAAACCATTGTCTGAATGAATGTCATGTCTACGGTAACATATAAAAAAATGTCAGAGGTTGGAGATGAATGGGTTATTAATACAGCATCATTGAATATGTCTAAGCACTGGTCTTCATGACCTGTAATAATAACCCACTCACCTCCACCCTCTGACCTTATTTTTTATATGTTAGCATAAACGTGATGTTCAGTGGTTAATCTAGACATACCCATAAGTATATTTCTAATCCTGACCTTATGTCCTCCCTTTAACTTATGAAAAGAGGCAATGATTTATTTTTTAAATTTCCCTAATAAATCATTTTTATCATTAGTTTTCTACCATTGCCTGATGAGGTACTATCTCAGTACCAAAAGATGAAAGTTTTTGTGTAGCAATGTAAAATGTTTTTATTGTAATTTATTATATATATATATATATATATATATATATATATATTTGTTAATTTATCTTATGTCTTTCTCTACTCTGAGTTTTGCAGAATTATCCCCTCTTCATCAAGAAGAGACATGAAAAGTGGAGGAAACTCCCCAAATTCAATTAAGAAAATCATAAGTAAACAGATCACATTATACTTCTGCTTGTTCCTTAGTTACCATGTGCATTACACTCTGCCAATATCTCATAAATAATGCCCTAATGGAAAAGACACATCAGAGACACTGTTTGGTTTCAAAGAGAGAAGATAGAGGAAGTGATAATGCTCTCATGTGTTTAATGTCTGCTTCAGTAAAAGGAAAAAAACTTGTCAACTTTGAATCTTTTCTTTTGTACTTTCTCATTTCTTTAAATAATGACCTGCATTCATATTTATGATTGTTATTGCAATATTTTGTTAAAGTTGTTATGCCTAAATATTTAATTATTCAATGGGGGAATTTCCACAAATATTTTACAATCATGGAACTAGCAAGGAGCATATTCAATCATTATCTAATGAATTATGATTCATAAGAAAATTTAAATGGGAAAACTGTTGAATTTTCAAGGGTTCTACTAGTTTATTATTAATGCTCTATCTTGATATCAAATTACAAAGAAAGCTTGCCTTAAAAATGTTATCTTCCAGAATTATCAAATTACAATGTTTGTTACTGTTATGTGTGTGGGAGTTATGTTATTTTTCCCATTTTTAACTTTATTAATTTAAGAAAGATTGGCTCCTCTTCTTTTATGTGTCATGTCTCTCCATAAAGTGGGCAACCATGGCTATTCACAAATTCCTATCCCTTGTAGATCATACTTATTATAAAACCCAGGTTGTGCGTGTGTGTGTCTGTACGTTTATATATTGGATTGGATTTCCTACATTTTTCAACTGATTTCAACAAAACTTCACAGGACTACGTAAAATTACCTCACGGTGGTTCTGACAGTGCCAAAAATTGGAAAAACACAATTGTTTTTGTACGAAATCAATTTGAAAAAACCATTAAGAGGCATTAATAAAAGGGGAACAACTCATATCGAGTTATACTTATTATAAAACCCAGGTTGGTTGGTTGTGTGTGTTCGTTTATATATGGGATCGGATTTCCTACATTTTTCAACCGATTTCAACAAAACTTCACTTTTTTTTTTGGCAGGTAGTGTTTCTTATTGTCTTGCACACTTTTTTCTTTATTTTTACATTTGGAATGCTTTAAAAATTCCATTTACAAAACAATTGTTTATAATAAAATTCTATTCAATCGGTAGACTCATAACAACAATTGAAAACAATGTTTTTGTTTGAGTTTGGGTTTGACCAATTCGTAAAAAAAAAAAAAAAAAAAAATAACTAATTAAGACATGCGTGTCTGTCAACCTTAAACAATAATCTTTGTCAAATTTATTTTTCAGTCTTTATGATGGTCGATACTTGATCTATCTCTTACTGTTACATCCCCGGGCAATGCCGGGCTCTACTGCTAGTCTTAACTAAATCTGTCCCTTTGCCATGCATTCCCCAATCATTCCACCATTCATTCAAACAATGTCTATGTGGCTCACTACCTACCCTGTCTCTTTTTAGCTTTGATATGTCCTGTGAGTGTCACATTTACCAAACCCTCTTTCCTCATTATGTATCATGGGAATTTCAATTCTCTCTTTCTGATTCTAAGTGTCCTTTTTTTCTTTTTCCTTCATCATTGCACACGTGCTCTGTCCATAGTATTCTCAGCATCCTTCTGCAGAACTACATTTCTTTTGCCTCCAGTTTTCTCTTCATCTATTAGATTGTTGAGTATTCACTACTATGCAAGAGAATTTATGACATAACAGTTAAATGCTTTTTCTTTGTTTCTAACAAAATTTTTCCTGTTTCTCATAATTAAAAACTATAATTATTATTATTTATAATAATCATATTTATCTCTCTCTTATATA